TGTCTGTTCGTGACATTTGCCTCTATTTTCCACTGGGTTTCTTAGTCTTTTTCCGGTTGATTGCTATCTGGTGGGACATTTATCTCTACATGTTGTTTTCATTTGGATTTTTGAATTAGCATGTCTAATTGGCACTTCTGTGAAATCCAATTTTTATTGGGTAAGTCACATGTATCCTTTAGGAAAAATTAGCATTGCTGTTTCTCTTCCTATAGAAGAACAGGGCATGTGTTTCCATTTAATCAAGATGTAGAGTAGATTTAAATCAGAAGGTACATTTTAAAAAGATGGCTACTTGTGAAAGGAAAAGCAGGGAAGGAGGGAGACCAAATTAAGTAGTGCCCACAGGGGTGGAGGGATGAGATGCTGGAGTTTAGAGTAGAGTGTGGGTTAGGGGCAGATGGACATTTGTGCTGGAGGTAGGGCCATAGGACTTCCTCAAGGGTTAGATGTGGGCATAAGCAAAAGGGGAGAAATAAGACAACACCAAGGCTTTTGACTTGAGCTATTGGGTGACTGGTGATTCTAGGTGATTCTAGGAGATTCTAGGAGACAGACAAGGAAGCGAGGAGACTCCCTGCCTGGAAGGCATGTCTGCCAACTGTGACCAGGGAAGCTGCCCACAGAGGTGCTCTGAGTGCAGACAGCAACTGGAATCCTTTGTGATGCTTGCCAGGGCATCTGTTAGCTCAGATGGGACTTTTATGTGAATTAGGACAAGGTGCCCCTTCTGGGAAGACAGAGGCCCAAACGTACAGGGATTGATGAGGAGTACGTGGCCTGGATTTTAGCCCCTGCACATGCCCAGCTATAACTGGCAGCCTTGATGTTAACCTCTGATGGGGGCTCCTGACTCATCCCTTCTTCTGAAATATCATCCTACTCCTTAACTCACCCAAAGTGGACCCTTTTCAGCTAAACTTTGCCTCTACCCATTTCTTGAGATCTGCCTTCACCCTGATTGTAATAGCTGCCGCATTAATTATGTATTTCATCAATTATCTTAGTTCTCCTAAAGCTTGAATTCGGAGCAAAGAGCACAACTTTAACCTTTAAATAATCTTGGTTTCTCTAAATCTCAGTATCAGATTTTCTCTATACACAAGCAATTCCTATTGCTCAATTTGAAACAGGCTTGGCTCATTTGAAAACGGAACACTTAACCTACATCGAGCAGTGAGTTGTAAGCTGCAGTGTAAAGTCTATGGGTTGAAGTAAACCACTTTGCTTCAGAATCATCATTTCAGTGGCATGATTTGGATCTGAGCCTCCCCCTACTGGTTCCCCCTAGTAGGGGACACATTGAGAGAGGGTCTCGGGCTTACTCTTCCGAGGCAGGGGTCACGGAAGAGGGTTCTGATGAACTGTGCTCAGTCTACCATTCCCTATTCTTCTCTGCACCTTCCCAGGAAATAACAGGCTCTAAAATAATAGCTAATGCCCGTGACTGACTGACCACTTGCTCCAGGGATTCTTCCTTCTGTAACCTTCCATTTTAATACCATCAGGGGGACTTCTCAGAAGGAATGCGGGGGCAAATGGGCAGTTGTTACACAGCTTGATAATTACCTGCTCCAGGTGCACCCCCTCACCTGAACAAAGGTGTAGGCATTTGATACACTCAAATTCAGCACAGCTATCAAGCAACTAACTTCCAGATAGTTTTCTCCCTACCTACAAAGAAGAACAATAATATCTGAGACAATGTAGAATCAGGAATGGCCACAGTGCAGGTTTTCTGATCCCATGCAGACCAGGTAAAGGAGGAGTCAGAGTCCTCAGTAGTTTTGCAGGTTTTTTATTTGGGGTTCACCAGGCATATGGCAGGCAGGGGTGCTGGCTGGGGGCCTGCCAGCCTCCCAGCCCCCAGCAAGTCTTCACTCTATCTGAGCTCTCTGGAGTTCGTTCTGCTGCTTCTCGGCTTCTCTTTCGGCTTCGGCTTCGGCTTCGGCTTTGGCTTCGGCTGCTGCTGCTGCTGCTGCTGCTGCTGCTGCTGCTGCTGCTGCTGCTGCTGCTGCTGCTGCTGCTGCTGCTGCTGCTGCTGCTGCTGCTGCTGCTGCTACTGGCGTCCCCATGACGCCGCCCTTAAAAAGCACAGTCTTAGCTCAGCTGAATCCCATCTACCTATGCCCACACCCTATTCCAGGTGCCCGCCATCAGGCATGCATTCAGGACAAGGATCCATCATCTATCCTGATGGCGGAAGGGCAGAAAAGCCTGACATTTTCTTTACCCTACAGACAAGAAAGCAAAGCCACAACCTGTAAAATAAGAGAAATATTGTATCCATCTGGGGTACACATTGCTGAGCTCAGTCAGTCCACCTGTTCACAGGAGATAGCCAGGATGCTGCAAGACCCTTGGGGTTCTTCCCCTATTTGTGGAGGGATTCCACGTCAGCACCCCTTCCTCCAAACCTTCTGCATTTTTTTCCATCCTTACATCCAAGATTCAGGGAAATAGAAGCTTGTCTTCACAGAGTGTGTGAGGAACTGTCTTAGATCAAGATGCCCAAGAACTGTGTGTTTTGTTCTCTTGTGTTGTTAGATTTATGGTCATTAAGCAGTAATCAGCCACGGCTTGAGAGCTTGCCCTGTTCTGTGGAGAATTTGATCTATTTACATGACACCTCCTGTGTTTCATGCATTTCCTTGCCTCTACCTTTCTTGCCTCCTAGAAATGAAGGGGTCGGGTCGCCACGAGTGGTGTTATTTCTGACCAGAGAGACTATCAAACAGGCGCAATCCCTGGGAGCCCAACATTGACTCAGATTATCACTGGGTCTGCAAAGCCAGGCGCCGCTCAGGACCAGTGAATGGCTGACACTTGTTAAAATAGAAAAGCTCTTCCTTGCATTTTATTTATTCCTATGTTTCAAATGCTCAGTTTGTTGAAGACACTGGGAGAATTTCATTCCATGTATTGGCTGATGGCTGCCCTAGTTTTTTAAAACTTGGAATTAATAGTTATTTAGAGAAAAAAAAAGAGAAATCTTTTAAGAGGCTAACTTCATGCTGCTATTATTGCCGTGAGATAATATAAGGATTAGGATTCATGCCGTTGTCTCTCTTTTTTAATTAAAAAAAATCGTGTAATTGCATTTTAAGGGTTTATATTTAGAAAAAGGTTTCAAGAACAACAAAAAAAGTCATTCCTATAATCAAGCATCACATTCAGGCAATCTTAAAAAAGAGTAACCCTACTTGGTCTATGCAACATGCTCTAAGATGTCTTAGGAGTTTTTTTTTTTTTTAAAGTTTTTGAAAGATTAAACAACTTCTCTTTCTTGATGTCTTCTGCTCATGAAGCTGTGTGTGCATGTGCGTGTGTGTGAACTTAGTGACTTTGACAATGAAATAAAACAATAATGAAATGCTGAGAGATGGTTGTTTCCCCTCATGTGTTTTAGCATCCTGGAAGCAGAACTAATAAATATTCAGCAAGTGATTAGTGGGTACATCCCCACGTGCGTCCTTTGCATATCCACGCCAGCTACCCTTTCACCAGCAGCTTTACTTGGTAATTTAGGAACGTTCTGGCTGCACCCTGCACCTGCCAGCCTTGCAGTAATTAGCTTGGGATGCAAAACGATTTCTAAATTAAGGCCCCGGACTGGTAAAATCAAGAAGGCCTGATAATCAGCGTTCTAGCTGCGGAAGCCAACGAATAGCGGGATAAGTGACAAGCACAAGCCCTTTCTCCATCCTACCCACGAGCGACAGGTGCGCACAAGACGCAGGTGAAAGGCAGGTCGCCGGCGGGAGGCAGGTGAAAGGGTCAGAGTTCACGACTGACAGCCGCGCGCTTCCTCCGACCGTCTGCCGCGCGCAGCTCAGGGGTGGGCGTTTTAGGGCGTCGGCGATGGGGGTGACCCCCGAGCCCTTGACCTTTCAGTCCGCCTCCAAACGGGGTGCAAAACGCGGGCGTCGCGCCTTGGAAACCCGGCGGCGCTGCAAGCCCGGGATGGGGCTGCGCGGGCGAAGGGCCGGGAGCCCCGCGCGCGTCGGACTGGGGTGTCGCGGAGCCCCGTCCGGGATGCTGGGGGTCCTCGTGGGGCCGGGAGGGGAAGGGGAGCCGGGCGCGCGCGCGGGAGTGGGAGGAGGTAGCGGGGCGAGCGCGGGGAGCGGAAGAGGAGGCGGGAGGGGAGGGGAGGGGAGGGGAGAACAGGGGAGTGGAGCCGGGGAGGGGAGGGGAGGGGAGGGGAGGAGCGGGCAGGGCAGCCGGGGAGGGGAGTCAGGGAGGGGAGGGGATCAGAGGGGAGGGGAGGGGGCCAAGGAAGGGGAGGGGAGGCCGGGGAGGGGAGGGGAGGGGAGAGGAGGGGAGGGGAGGGGAGAAGGGGAGGGGAGGAGGGGAGGGGAGGGTGGGAGGGAGGGGAGTCAGGGAGGGGAGGGGACCCGGGAAGGGAGGGGGCCAAGGAAGGGAAGGGGAGGGGAGCGGGGGGGAGGGGAGGGGGGAGGAGAGGGGAGCGGGGGGGGCGGGGAAGGGAGGGGACCAGGGCGAGTTCCCGAGGAGGGGAGGGGAGCGGGGGCGGGTAAGGGGAGCGGGGGCGGGGAGGGAGGCAGGGAAGAGGCGGCGGAGGAGACGCCTCCCGGCGCCCGCCCCGCTCCCACATTCAGGCCGGCCCCTCCCCGGGCCGCCGCCTTCCCCTGGGCTTTCCCCGGCGGCTCCCGCGGCGCCCGCGTCCTCCCGACTCCGCGCCGCGCGCCCCCGCCCGCGCGCCCCCGCCCGCGCGCCCCCGCCCGCGCGCCCCCGCCCGCGCGCCCCCGCCCGCGCGCCCCCGCCCGCGCGCCCCCGCCCGCGCGCCCCCGCCGCGCCTCGCTGTCGGGGCATGCGCGGTGGGCGGCGCCGCTTCGGGCCGCCTCTGCCGCGCGAGTAGGAAGCGCGAGCGCCGGCGCCGCTGTCAGAGCCCGGGCGGCAGCAGCGGCTCCGGCTCCGGCTCCCGCGCGACTCCGCCCGCCGCGCCCCGGCCCGCCCGCCCCGGCCCCGGCCCGCGCCCCGGCCCGGCCCGCACGGCGGGACCATGGCCGACGTGTTCCCGGCCAACGACTCCGCGGCGCCCCAGGACGTGGCCAACCGCTTCGCCCGCAAAGGGGCGCTGAGGCAGAAGAACGTGCACGAGGTGAAGAACCACAAATTCATCGCGCGCTTCTTCAAGCAGCCCACCTTCTGCAGCCACTGCACCGACTTCATCTGGTAGGTGCGCGGGCCCGCGGCGGCCCCGCCCCCGCCCCCGCCCCCGCCCGGGACCCCGCCCGGGACCCCGGCCCCCCACCCCGGGCGCGCCCCTCCCGGGCTGACTCACCGCGAACTTGGGGAGCGGCGGGCGCGGAGCTCCAGTGACAGCCGCGGCGGGCTGGGCGGGCGCCGCGCACACCCCCTGCCGGGGGAGGCGCCCCCACCCCGGGCGCGCTGGCGGCGGACCCGGCTGGCGGGGTGCGAGCCCGGGGCATGGCAGAAAGGGGGATCGGGGGGCCGTCTCCCGAGAAAGACGCCCGGAGGCGCGGGGCGCGGGGCGCGCGGCGCGGTCCAAGTTGCCGCGCGCGGGGCCGGGCGCTCTCGGGGGGCCGGGCGGGCGCGTCCCGTCGGGCTGGGGCGCGGCCGGGCCCCGGGGCCCCCCGCCTGCTGCAGCTGCAGCTGCCGGGCACCCGGACACTGACTTTTCTGGGGGAGCCCGGAGAGTGGCGAGGCTGCAAACTGTTGCAAGCTCGCGGTGGGGGAGGGGAGTTCAGGCAGCAGCAAATGGCAGCAGGGCAGAGAGTCATTTAAAATAACCCTGTCGAGTTAGATTAGACCCGTCACCCCGCGGGCGAGGACAGAGGCCTCAGTTAAGAAACGCTGTAAGGGCTGGAGGTGCCAGAGCGCAGGTGCCGTCCAGTGGAGCAGGTGCTGTCAACCAGGCAGGGGTTTGGGGGGACTGGATCGATGGATGAACTTCATGGGCTCCCTGAACCCTGTAAAACGGAGTAAAGTTGATTTTTGACAGATCTCTGGCTGTGGCGGACGGTCCGTAAAGTCCAGGAGCGCCCCTCCCCGCACCCCAAGAAAAGTTTAGCAGATGGGAGCTGAGGGACCGCCAGGTGTCCCTCTCTCGCGCGCGCCGGGGCTTCCAGGAGCAATCGTGGCTCGTCCGGACATCTTGCCACTTTCACCTCTTGCTGTGCAGTAGGCAGCTAAGTCAGCTGTGGGAGGGCTCCCCGGTTCAGCCTCTCCTGGACCTGGTGACAGTGCCCCAGAGCCAGCCCTGCCCCAGCGGGCTGTTTGCCACCGTGTGGCTTGTTGGGCACTTGGGGGGAAGGTATGGCAGGCGGTCTGGATCCACCACACCTGGGGAAAATCATGAGGGCCAATCCCAGGAGGAACTAATAAAGGGTTTAATTTTTCCTTTATGGATGGCTCTCCGAAGCCACCCCATCTGGGGAAATCCTCTTTACGGGCAAATCCCACAAGGTGCTAATAAGGTGCTTTCTTTTCCCTTTGCTGATGGCTCTATAGGAATGCATCACACCCGGGAAAAGTCATCCCTAAGGGCAAGTGCCTCAAAAGTGCTAATAAGGTGCTTAATTTTTCCTTTTTAGAAATCACTGGCAAGGACGCTTAAGAAAAGCACAGCCACCTCGGTGAATTGATTCCCGCCCAGGTAGTCAGCAGGCAAAGCAGTTGTACTCAAAGGAGTGGGTAACTGTAGATGAGGCCATTTAAAATAAGTTCTTGGAGCATCAGGCCAAAGAGGGTACGGCATTTAGTTAAGGTGAGGTCTCAGCCTCCCGTGTTAACTGTGAGAGTCTATGAAAAGGGAGCAGACTTGCTGATTACTTTTGCAGGAAGACGGTAAGTTAGAAAAGGGACTTTCCACTGTCAGTTGCCCTGAAGGATCAGGCCCTGGTGAGCTGATCAGGCCCAGGCGGTCACCAGGTGTAACGTGAGGTGGAAAATGCTGTCTCTTCTTCTTGCTCCCTGAGCGATCCCTGAAACACTTCTCCATTTAATTGTATAACAGCCACTTGGAAGTGCCAAGGAAGCCTTCAACCAGGATGGTTTAGGCGTGGTTTTAATTTTTCAGTTTGATTTAATTTTTCAGTTTGATTTCCTCTGGGGTCTTGACTTCCAGGTGTGACTTAAATACGAAAGCACTGATCATGCAAAACAATGTCTGGGTGTACATGTATTTTTGGGGGTGGGTGGGTGGGAGCAACTGAGTTACATGAGGTGCTTTGCTTTGTAAATTAAAATGCTATGTAAAGGACTAATAACCTTCTGAGAATTTTAATGCAGTTTATCCTAGTGGAACAGTGTTGCAATTTAATGTCCACTTCAGGGTTCAAGGCTCAGAGTAAATTCTCTATTTTACAAGAATAAAATAGCCTGTGTATGTGCTTTGAATGCTCTTGGTTCTCAGTAAAAATTAGGTCATGATAATCTCAAATGCAAACAATGAGAATGACACTTTGTAAAATCTGGTTCCTTTAAGCCAAAATTGAACGATGAGTGGTGCTGTTTGGCAATTTCTAGACACATTTTAAATAAATTCATAACAAATGAAGCTCCTTTTTAGTTCTCTTTAGGGAGAAAACATTTTCACTCAGTCTCGGGGTTGCTCTATAACATTTAGGGACCAAATTAAGCCACTTTTTACTTTACCCTAAGATCCTTCTTGTTATGTGAATATTATAACCAACAGTTTCACAGATACACTCTTGTTCTTACAATTTAAGCATCAATATCCGGAGTCATAAAACATTGGAAAGAACCCTGATACACTGAAATAGTTTAGTAAACCTTTGGAGGCCAGATTTTTCAAAATGGAATTTGGTGTCTCTGCTTAGCTGTTTTGGGGGTGTTTTCCCTATCTAAGCATTGGGGTTCGTGTATAAACCTTACCTCTGTAGAATACTTTGTTACCTAACTGGCTGCAGATATATCCAGCACAAAATATGTTACGATATTTTGTTTTTGTTTGTTTTTCAGGGGGTTTGGGAAACAAGGCTTCCAGTGCCAAGGTAAGCTGCCACCTTGGATTTTATTTCCAAGTACAACAAGAAATGAGCATTCCAAACAGAAACAGTATTTCCAGTCATCTTTGTGATCCAAAAAATTTAGATAATATTTCTGAATCAGGCCTGCAAATTTGGGTCTAAAAAAAAAAAATCAGATGGTATTGCCTAGTAATCTGCATCTAGAACTGCCTTTTTCTCATTAGGAAAAAAAGACTTGCCTGTAATTTTATTTTTTGCCAAGAACATTCTTGTCAGAAACTGCTGTCTTTGTGTGGGTGTTCGGGGTGGGGAGGGGGTGGAATGGAATCACTTTGTATTCGCGTGGCTTTTCTTGTTCTTCCTCTGGTTTTGTTCATCTCTTACCTGTGCATTGGGTTGGACTCATTGTAACTAATTTTAGGCCATGCATCATTCTCGTAATTTTTTTTTTTTTTTGATTACAGATTGTCATCCAGAACAAGGCATGCACATTTCAATGTTATGTAGATGACTTGATAATGACTGGGTATTGTAGTAAGAGGCACATTTCTTCCTTCAACTTAAATATGCGACAACATCTGATACTATCCAGTGCCTCCAGATAGAAATCCATTAGTTTCCTTCTCTGATCTGCCCTTGCGCTTCACACACATCAAACAGCTAACCTTTTTACTGTTTGTTGAAACGTTTTGAAAAACACTTCTTAGCTTCTGAAGGCATCTTGGGTTCGCGAGCTCACCTTCTGGCACTTCTGCTCTGTCTATATTATGTTTGTTTAGTTCTGGTTACATTTCCCATCTGGGCATAGGTTTATTATTAGGGCAAGTGGAAAGTACATTCTATCCTGGAAGATATTATCCTAACACTGTTTAATATTAGGCGCTTTACTCGAGAGAGACAGTGTATGTACTTTTTATAACTTCAAAATTGTGCTAGTAAGTTGGTTACCTTTGAAAACATTCTTCAACTTGTTCCTTAGATCCATTTTCTCAATGTATTTTTAGGTGGAGGTGTCTTGGTGTCCTTCTATGTCCATAATTATTCATTAATACTCTACCTTTTTCAGAGGGCATTAGAAACTCTCTATTTAATAAATTTTGAGGGCTATATTTTGTTATCAAAGTCTTTTTCCTTAAACAACAAAAAAAGTTGTGTTGTACCAGTCTCTTCATAAGAGATGAAAGGAGGTATATAGGCCTCAGTTCTCCAAGCTGTGGACCAGAACTTTATCAGCAAAGTTTGGACCCCTGCTTGAACTCGATTTTAGGAAGCTGAAAGCTGTAAACTTGGGATTCTGGGTGAGCCTGATTCATGTCTACTATTTTTTATAATGTTTGGGTGGGCATCTATGGAAAATTATAAGAGAAATAGTTACTAAATTTTCTAAGTACTTTTCCAGGAGAAAGTGGGTCTGTTACTTTAAAAACTGCCATTTTCTGCATAAAGAGTATTCAGAGTAAAGTCCCTTTTAGACCTGCTCATCTGGTAGATCTTGTTGGTGAAATCAGGAGCTATAGATTCAGAGTAGGCGTGTTCTTAAGCAACAAGGGGTGGTCTGCCTCGGTTCCCCCAGAGCATCTATCTCTTGACTTTTTAGAGGATTAGCAGATTCATAGCTATACGTCAGCAGTCAGCATAACTTCCTTTTAGCTAAGTTATAAAGGTGATATAAAAATTGGAAAACACTACATAGAGTAAAATTACATACTTCTTCTGTCCTCCAGGATAACAAGACATCTGTGCATTCGTTCACATGTATTTTGATTTTAAAAATTGACCTATTTTTTAAAAATGCTTTCTGCCACTTATTTTCACTCAACTTGAGTGTAGTGGTAGTGGCCAAACATCAGTTCTACCTTCTTCTACTTAGTGTTTGCGTGTGTGAAGAGAGCGAATTTGCCCACACTCTATTGCTGGGTATTTTAATTGCTTCTAAGTTCTTATTAGTACAGATATTGCTGTCGATGATATACTTGGGCACAAGAATAGCTATTTCTACAATAGTTCCCTGGAAGAATGTCTATATGCACTTAAAATTTTAATGAGTACAGATAAGTTGCTCCCCAAAAGGTTTCCATTTACATTTTCAGTATTAACATGAGAGTACCCCTTACCTTTACCTCTTACTGCTTTGGAATAATAAAAATTCTTTACATTTTTGTGTTGGTAGGTGAAAAGGGCCCTCTTTTTCAATCTCTACTTCCTGAACAGTTGTTTTAGCTGTTGGTATTCTGTGAATCGCCTTACCTTACCTAATATTTGAGGTTCAGGATTTACAAACCAGAAATGAGAGCAGCGATTATGTGCTTTATGTCCTACCCTTGACACTGGTGATTAAACCTCAGACCTCTTTAAATGAGTTTCCCTCCTGCATTGACAAATTCTCATTTACAGAAACCACTTCAAATAGAAGTCTTTCTGGAACGTGCTATCAGTTAGTTACTTTGTGTTTAGCATGCTGAGTAGGCCATGCTAATTCATCGCATCTTCCTGTTGTAACTTAAGAAGGATGTGTCAGCTCAAGACCCTGCTTGTTAATCCATAAATGGTTAATCCATGGTTGCCTGTTTTGCCATACTCCTGGCAATTAGTTGAACACCTGACTGTGTTAGGATATATTCTTTTAATGTTTCCCAGTTTTCTGTTGGTTTTGCTAGAGTCCTATTCTCATTCTGGAGAAGAACCGATTCTCCTCCTGGCTCTTGATGAACCACCCACTGGCCATGGCAGTTACAGACGGCCCTTCTGTAGTCCTCATCCAGGGGTTCTGTCCCCTAGTGGAGACGGCATATTCTAGCTCTTACCTGTAGTGAGTTGTCTTGGTCAGTGGCTGAAGTGTCTGTAGATAAGCATCCTTTCTGACGCGAGAGGTGTGTCTGCCCCGGGTGAGTCTCCTGTTCACAGAGTAACACAGCCTTAACCCTAACCTTATATGGTAAATGTAAAGTAAGAACCGAAAGACCAAAGAGATACTGAGTTTTAGTCCCTGATGTACTGGGTTTGTCATCTCGGCCACTTAGGAAGCATTACACTTAGCAAGCATGTGAAGTTATCTCCTACTTCTTCCCTTCTTCAAGATTTAACAGAAATGGAAGCAGGAAACGTTCCTGACAGGTCACAGGGCATTCTCACTCCCACTTAGTGGGCCTTTGTGGACAGGCTGCCGCTCTCAGGTACAGTACAGGTGTACAGCACTGAGAACTGACGCTACCAGAGCAGGTAGCCTAAGAGGACCCTGCAGTGAGAACAGGAAGCCACGGGCCTCACACTGAGGATGGGAGAGAAGGCCGTAGCCTGGGTCTGGAAGTCGGGTACCACTTTCCTAAGGTTCTGGAGCTGAACACAGCTTGTGCCTTTGTTGCTCTGAAAAGACCTGCAAACAGACAGGCCTTTGATGTTTAATGTTCTCTGCGCTTGACCCCCCGAGTGCTTAGGGAGGACAGCCCAGAGCGGGTCCTGGCCCATCTTTTTTTTCCCCAGAGAAAGTTAAGGGAGGAAGGAAAGCAGGCTTGTCTGGCCAGGTCATTAATGAAGTTGTGATCTGCACCTGTCACCAGTTGGTTTGTCCTGCTTCCAAATGCCATCACGAACATGTAAAACAGAATGAGCGAGCTTCTCAGGTGTTCTGGCCACGCGTAGCACTGCTGGGAGAGGGAATCAGCCTTGCCCACGTCCCCTCCTCACAGCCAGACCCTCACAGACGTCTGCAGTGACTGTGACAGGGACAGTTTCTTATTCACAGGCCGGCTTCTTCTGTCGTCTGTGTCTGTAGCTGTGTTTTCTGTCCTTGTTGAAGGTCACAAATTAGAATGTACTACTCACCTGGGCTCTCTGACGAAGCTCCCCTAAAAGGTAGCATCAGAATTAATCCCCACCAGTAGCCGCCACCAACAGGAGACGGTTGGCACAGAAGGAGCAGCACTGGGTGTTTGAGAGGCCTCAGGGGATTTGGTCACTGACAGGCTTCAGGCAGGGATCCTGAGCCAGCTCCCTGCTGAGTATACACCACGCGCTGGTTTTGTGTTAAGGCAAAGCTGAAGCTCTGGTTTTGTGTTAAGGCAAAAACTGGGCTCCCTCCCCTTGGGTTGATGACGCCCCATTTGGAAGGCCTGTTTCAGGTAGTTGCTCCCGTCAGCAACCCTGCGCAGGATGGCATTTGTGTTCATCCTGTGAGAATGAGAGTTAATGTTTGAGGGGAGAAGATGGCTGTCTGACCTAAGGACTCCTGGAAAATTAGGCCAATTTGCAGGAGGGTGGCCTCTACCAGAAAGAGAGTCATCGGGACAGCCTCTCCAGGGGAGGATGAGTAGTTATTCTTGCCAGAGGTCACAGGACCACCCTCAAGGACGTCCTGTGTCAGGACGGGACAGGGCTCAGTTCTGGTGGGCCTGGATCGCGAGGTGGGGTTTCTCTGACGTATTGATATTTCTTGAACCAGATGAGCCACGACTAAACTTGGGAACTGGCCGCTCGTTTTTCAGAGTTGACCCCAGGACTTCCAGTCATTCTTTGTCTCCAAAACAGAGGTCACTTCTTGGTACCCCACTTCTCATTGGTTAGCCACCCCCAATTAGAAGCCATGTTAATTGTAGATGAACTGATGGAGTTGCTAAGAAAGTTCCAAAAGAGCCCGTGGAAGAGCGATATATTTGGAAACTCTGGAGGTTTTCCACGATGGTCACATGAAAGCATTGTTCCAGTCTCAAACGTGAAATGAATGCCTTAAAAACAATAGAAAAGGGTAGTTATTGAAGAGCTTTGCTCTTCAATCCTTTTCTCCATAAAATGCATTAATCCTTGTTAGAAGGTAAGGTCACATGGACAAAACTAGTGCTGGTTATTCCCGCTTGGTGGTTTATCCTTGTTATGAGTGATTTCCGTTTAATTTTTCCAAATCACCACTGACTCGCTAAGTTCGTTCAGTGAAAGTTGTTGTGTTCACACACAGCTCTGCAGGAGCAGAGGGTACAGTGTAGGGAGCAGTCTGCTCATCCCACAAGACAGCAGAAACCTAGTCAGTATTT